AAACAGAGATGGAATCGATGTGTTAATATTGATATCAACTCCCGTTGATCCTCCCTTCCTCTTTCCTCTTTCTACTGTTCTTTCTTATGCTCATCTTCCTTCCTTCTATATAAGCATGTGTCGTATGTGAAGTAGTTACATTCTGTAGATATCAAGTAGCTCAATAAAGATCATTAGCGACTGTAATGGTGAGCTACGCTTCTAGTTTGTCGTTACAATCGGTTCGTGCTTTTTCGGAACTGAATCGGACTCCATTTCTGCTAACAAATGAGAAGAGCTAAGAGTCAAATAGAGCATCACTTGAGTGATTAATAAGTATGATAGCAAACTTTCATTAAAAGGCTAAGTTGGAACGTGGTTTGTAATCAAATACTTCTTTTATATTGCCTGTTAGAAACCTAAGAAACATTTTTTTTTTATTAATAAAAATATACAATTTTTTAGAGAATTAAAAGCTGAATTTTTTAATTTCAGAAAAAATTATATCAAAATGACGAGGACAAATTGAAATATCAAGAAAAAAAAAATATGAAGAGAGTCATTTATTTTATCGTACCTATTTAGTTATTCCATAACAAATTATATTCAAAGTTTATATCCCATATGCTATTAACTATAAAAATTGTTTAATTAACTATAAATATGTAAAATAAAAAACATTAATATTTATTATATTAGTAATAGTTCGTATGACAGCTGAATGTCAAAATCGAATATAGATTATTTGAATTACTCTGAAAAAAAAAAGACAAATGCCAACAGAAATAAGGAACAAAAAACAATCATAAATAATGATATGAAGCAGCAGAGAAAATATTTGCAGATCCTAAGTTAATACTATTCATGGAAGTTTTCAAATTGATTATTTTGAAAATTATACCATAATTTCAATTATTATCTTTTCACGATATATATATATATATATGTGTATTAATTTAAAATCAAAAAAAAAAAAAACATTTTAATTGATGGTAAAAAACGCACAGCATGTTGTTCGAGTTTATTTGGTTGATATAGATTATTACACAAAATATATAAGAAAGAAAAAAAGATCGAAAGAAAAAGATAAATCCTGCTCTTTATTATTATTCTTTTATGACATATTGTCCGCTGTATTTTCATTGTCATCATCCAATTCTGTACGCTGTGCCATTAATTGTTGAATAGTCAAAGGATTTACTAAAGAATTAAATAAACAAAAAAATTATATCATTATCAAATGAATTAACTTACAATCACTACTGTAACCCGAATATCGAGGATGTGCATATTGATTACGATATGCTTGATCATAGAGTTCTCGAAGAGTATAATGATATTTTTCATCACTATCACTTTCAGATCGTTTTCCCCATAAATTATTTAAACGTTTTCCCCATAGTCCATTTATACGTTTATTTAAAACGCTAAAATGCATTAAAACAAACAAACAAATGTATTCTGGAATAAAATCAAAAAACATAACTTTTTTAATTCTATATTAAACTTGTTTATTATTCTACTTTATTTTTTAAAGATTATTAAAATACAACATTACGTGAATTATCACTATTTTCAGTTATATACGTTTTGTTTTTCGGCAAAGTTTGATGTAGAGAACAATTGAAATGGAATAAACTCAGAAAAACAACAACGAAGTAAATAACTTCATCCATTTTATATATCAATTGTATTCATAGAAATAAACTACTCAAACCAATGAATATTCACTAATGATCAAATAGATTAAGAATTGAGAATATCTTTAAATCTTTTACTAATTTTACATATAATCATTTACAAGACTATACGATGTCGAAATGAATATTTTTCCTAAAAAAAAAAAATATCTCTCGAAAATGATTTATGAGCTAAGAAAACAAAAAAAATCATTGTCTCATTGAATCACATCAGGTTTTTGTGCCTTTTTGAATCTGTTAGATACTATTGTGTTATTCTCTTTTATTGACTAGCTAACACAGAAAAAAAAACAAAGAGGATCAATTATATAGTTATAAGTAGATGAAAGAAAAAACCCTTAGAAATACATGACAATTGAAAATTAGAATATCGAATAAAAAGAGAAAAAAAATCTATTATTTCAGTAATCGGAAATATTCTGATTTTTTACTGCCTAAGTTTAAAACGGAACTGAATGCCATTCGTAGCTGCTCATTATCTTCTATGCACTTACTGTTTGTAATTGTCACTATTCGCAGAACTTTCCATTAGTTTAGCTTGAATTAAACATGTTTGTATCAAGACAATGAGTAGGACGAATATGAAGATATATAACTTCATTTTGATGATAAATCTAAAGTGATTATTTATTAATCTTATGTAGAAAAGTAACAGTTAAGAAAACAGATTTAGATAGATGAAAAGACGACTGTTTGTATAGATTGACGGTGAATGAAATGAATGACACTGATGAGATACAAGAGGAAAAAAAAAGGAAGCGCAGAGAAATTTTTCTCTCTCTCTCTATATATATATATATATTTTTTTTCTCTTCAATCTCCGCCTCTGTAAAATATTTTTTTCTCTTTGGGCTAGAATAAAATGATTACTATGATTTGACATTTTATTCATTGTTTGTGATTTAATCTTAATAATCTTGTTGAAATCTTCTTTCAAAAAAATGAATTTTTATTCAAACAAATATTAAAATTTTCCGGACGAAAAGAAATAAGCTCTTACGAAATAATAGTCGTCTGTCGAAGAAATAGAATTAGTTTTCTTTCTAACCTACAAAGTTTACTTTGAATTTATATTAAAAAAGATTATTTATTCATAATTTACTAAAATCAACAAAAAAAAACTTTCTTGACAAACCTGACCTGACAAGAATAACGATTAAAATAAAAAAAAACAAATATATGATAAAACGACATACGACCATTAGTTTTTTTTTCGTTATACTATATATCCTTCCGATAATAAATGAAAATCAATTTTCAATTTCATTAAAAATCTAATCACGCAATCACATGTTACTCATCATATGCAAACAAAAAAATACAACAAGAATTTTTCTTCAACCGTGATTGACACATACAGGACACGATAATATTAACAGTTGTTATTTATCTGTTGAACAGAATCAATAATTAGTTTATCTGTTTATCGAACGAAAATTATTTATTAGATAGTAGAATATTTTCTTTCTGATAAACAATTTATGTTATCGATTCATTTAATGAACCAAAATACAAAATATCTTATTTATTGATTAATAGTTATTTTTCACAGGTCATGCATTACTAATTTTCTAATTAGAGAATAAATTTTACCAAGAATATTTTTTTGTTGATCTAACCATATTGTACTGTATTACACATAAATATCTGTTTAACGGATAGATAATAGAGATAATAGATACGTTAAACTTTTTCTTCTATGGTCTAGCTAATGCAAACACGTATACATAAATAGAATGCCATTAGAAATTATCGGCTTTTTTTATCGAATATAAACATAATGCTAAATAAGTAATAACTATTGTTTATATTTTCGTATGAAGACTGTTGTTATTAAGTATGAACATCTAGTGAATAAAATCAATGTATATTTGATATACTTTTTACTTTATAACATGTATTATATAGTATGAAATGATCTCATATTTTGGTTGATAATCTTTGGATTGTTATAAGTTTTGTATACAAGTCATTAAATTAGTTTTCAACAAAGGATAAAAATTTTTTTTTTCTTTTATTGAAATAAATATCCAATATATATTGATCTATGAGTACAGTAAATTAATATAAAACGTTTTTGTTTTTTTTGTAAATAACCTCAAAGTGTTCTCAATATCATCGTTTCAAGATTTTTTTTATTTCTGTTTTTCTTATACTTTTCATGTCTTTCAATGTCGACACTTTGTGTTTTCCTCTTCTCGCTCTTTCATAAGTCTCGGAATTGAATAGTTCATAAGAGCAGCAGCATCTAGAATTCTAAATCAATATATCATTACGTGTTATAACTTAAATATTAAGTTCTTTCATACAAACAATGATTTATTTTGCTATGCGATTTGATGCATATTTTGTTCTTTGTATTGCATCATCAAAACATAAGCATAAAATTTTATGTTTAATAAATTATTCTATTATATGTTTCTAATAGTCTTTACGAATAATTGTCGATTCATGTTCGATAAAGTCTAACTAAGTTCTCTCATGAGTATTAATTCGAGTACAAACTAGTATGGTCATAGAGTGTAAACTATTTCATTGGATCATTTCGATTTTTTTTGGTCTAGTAATCTATTACTTCTAATACAATATATACATTTTTTAATACATTTGCATTGACATAAAAAAAACATATTTCGCTGGTAGTTACCATATTTTTCTATTATCCATTGTGCAGTTAATAATGAATATGCCAAGGTCTTGGATCATATCTTTTCAATAACAGCTGGATATAATCGATATATTTTAATGATATTTTCCATGAACAATATTTATGAATAATACAAAGAATTGTTTTAATACTCATATAACATCTAGCTGGGATTAACAGATTAGTTGAAAGTTTTTTTTTTAATCTATGTCTGATATAAAACAACAAACAATATAAGTTTTGTTGCTATAAATAACGTTGAGGATAAAAGTTTTAATTAGCATAGTTCAGACTGTTCTTCAATCTTATTAGTAATAAGATTATTCATACTTTTACAATACATATATGTTCATTAAAAAGATATTCAATAATCCTTTCGATCTCGATCAAAGATTTTGTTTTTTCTATTTGAAAATATCTGTAGTATTGAAAACATCAACGAATACGATAATCCTCAGATCTATGTAAGTTATTAATAAAGAAGAAAAAAAATCTATGCAGAATTTAATGACCTTTATATATATATATATAGATTGTATTCAATTAAAAAAAATTCTTCTTTCTTTTTTTGTAAAGCACACACATACATTGAGTTAAGAATAAAAGTAAAAATTCTAACTCTCTATGTACACATACACACAAAAGAAAAACAAATGAAAATATGGCGGACAAGGTTAGGAAGTTGTATTATTAGTTCCATTTGTTGTTGATAATTTTTCTGTATTACTTGTAGCTGTTTGCTGTTGAGCTTTGGAAATATAAACATTTAATAATTTGATCTAGATAAATAACAAAAACAAAACCTAGATTATTTATAAGTAAAAGAAATATTTTCAATAAGCAGATTATTCGATTAATAAATAGATACAAAAAATGCTCGAAGCTAAAAATATTTCAAAAGAAAATCCACAATAAAATGACATTGAATAGTACGTTTTTTCTCTTAATTATTCCTACTCATGGAGTTTGAGAGATAAATATGTAAAATTTTTACATATGAATACAGAATAATATCGCTAAAATTTAATTTTAAATAAAAAAAAAACAAGTCAATCAATTGATTATCAAGAACTAATTAAATTTCATTATGAGTTTCGAAGGTGTTGCTTTAAATGTATGAATTTTCTTTTTCTTATTTTTCTTTGTAATACACGAAAGTAGATGTATTTCGTGATGAAAGATTGATTATTTGAGAAGATGGATTACTACTTAATATTCTCACCATATAAAAAAATTTTGCTTAGCTTTGTACAAATTTTTTCCAAGATTTAAGAGATCATTATTCCTATCCTTCCTCATATGAGGAACACTTCTACATACAAGAGTGTAACTATAAGTATGACTATGACTTTACCTTGCTTGGACTTAATTTATGTAAATGAGTACGAAGTGCATCACCAACAACCAAATAAATCGATACTAAACAAAATACAGCCGCTTTTCTTACACTTGATGTTTCATTATCCCAAGACTAAAATTACGAAAATCTTATTTTATTAATAAATTTAATTTAAGATTGAAGCAATCTTTAAAGGCATCATATTGCATGCAGGCATGTCAGGCAAAGCAATAATATTTGATATTCTTATTGAAAAACATTCGTTCTTGTTTTCTCATGCACTTACACTAGTCGCACCAGTAAGACCCTGGGAATTAGCATCCCACACCTTTTTTTGTGGAAATAGGTATTTTAATTTTTTTTTTGTAATCAAAGAAAAAAAGAGAAATTTAATTTTAACTTACTGTTAAAAGTGATGGAATCATTTCAGGCATTAAATCTAAACATGTATCTTTATTCATGAATTCAATTGTTTTTTGTAACATTGTTATAGCTGATTGATTCATTGGATATTTTGCTTGTTCAGTTATTGGTTTAAGTACACGAACAATACTTTCAGCTGGTAAATATTGAGCTGCAGCATGAGCTGCTTGTTCAGCTGAACGAGTTATCTAAATAACAAAAAGTTCAAAGAACTTTGCCGTGACTTATCTTGAATCAGGATGTCATAAAGCGATTTGCGATCCATCGAATGATATATATATATGAAATCGAACAAAGGAAACTTCCTCAAAAATTGCACATTATCAAGCTCTACATCTTTCAAAACAAATACGACTCATTATCAACTTGTCAGATTGTCCCTTAGATTAGACTATTTTCCTATATGAGGTGGCGAGTATGTTGATAATATTTTAATGATCCTATAAAAAAATTTTTATGTACTAATAATCAGCCAAGCATACCTGATGAACTGATATAAATAACTCGTTTATAAATGGAAAAAAAAGTGTTTGATTTCCAGATCCCTGGAGAGTAGTACAGGAATAAAAGAAATTTATTTTTGAAATGAACATAAAATATTTATAGATCGTTAGAGAATTTCATGCATAAATCAAACTAAGATATTCGAAACAAAAAACAGCAGACCTCTTTTCTACAACCATATGGAGGGTCGGAATTTAAACAATTGCTGAAATTCTGGTATCCGTACTTCTCCTTTGCAGAGGTCTACAGAACAAACAATTTTTTTTTCCTTCTATAAACGAGTTATTTATATAAGTTCATCAGGGATGCTTGGCTGATTATTCCTATATAAAAATTTTTAATAAGATTATTAAAATATCATCAAAATACCCGTCGCTTTATATAGAAAAATAGTCTAACTTAAGGGACAAACTTGGAAGTTAATAATGAGTCCTGGATGTTTCTAAAAGTTGTAGAACTCGACAATGAGCAAATTTTGAGGAAATTCCATTTGTTCTAGGGCGCAAAGTTAAACATACTGAAATATCAATTAGTCAAGAAATTATTTAGATCTAAGAAAAGGTACTAAGTTTTAAGTATGAAGAAATTAACAATGAAAACTAGGGATGTCGCATTGGTGTTAGCATTGGCATTAATTAATGCTAACCTGACATCTATAGGGGTGTTGTATTGGTATTAGCATTAATTAATACTAATTCTAATACTTAAGTATTAGCATTATCTTGATACTAATACTAATCCGACATCTTTAATGGAAACTAATAATTATAAAAAATTGAAGAGCGTCTTTAGTCCTATCGAATTAAGTTTAGAAATAAAATTTGTATAATTTTATCTTAGCGATCATATTATCTATGATCATTACATATATACTTTTCTCAAGAATTATAATCAGTATAGAAACTCTCAGCATACGAGAATTTAATTTCATATATATTATTCGATGGACTGCTCTAGAAATTCACATAAATAGTATAAGTCATCAAATCCGAGGTAATATCAAGGGGGAAAAAGCGAGACTTCGTACTTCACGTACTTCACCGTACTTCACTGTACTTCACTCGTACTTCACTGTACTTCAATTGTACTTCACCGTACTTCACTTGTACTTCACTCGTACTTCACTGTACTTCACTCGTACTTCACCGTACTTCACTTGTACTTCACTCGTACTTCAGAAGTACGAAGTCTCGCTTTTTCCCCCTTGGATAATGTTCATTTTAGTTTTAAAAAGCATACATAACTTACATCATTTTCATTTTCACTTTGTGCTTTTAATATTCGAAAAATAGTTAGTTCAATATAATTCATAAATAAATTTGTATGATGAATTAATAATTCACGTATTATACGAAGACTATAAGCTTTAAATATAACATCATCATTTGTATTATCAAGAATTTGTGTTAAAATATTTAATGTTTTACTAAACGCTATATTCCATGTTTCAATATCATTTAATTTTGCAAATTTTAATATACAACGTAATGCATGTTGTCGTTGTTCTTTTGATAATGTTATTGTATTTGCTATATTAAGAGCTATATTAATAGCTGCTGGACGATCAGGTGTATCAGAAATACTCTAAAATAAGATAATCGATGAATTTTATTTTCAATAATATAATTTATATTATACATACATCTGATGTTTCTGACATTTGACTTTGTGTTAAAGTTGTACGATAAGATTGTGATGTATGAGCTCGAACAGGAATCATTGAACGTTGTTCTTTATCTTTTAATGGTGTAGAATTTATTAATAATAAATCATCTTGATGATTATTTACATTTAATGCTTGCATATTTTCCATTAATATACGCATATCAGATGCATAAGATGGACTTTGAATATCTGAATGCATTGATGTTGTCATTGGAGATGTTAAACCAGAATAACTTGGTCTTTGAAAAAAATCATATCTAATAAAAAAAAAGAAGAAGAAGATGAAATAAACATGAAATAATGGAAATAAATTATTCGTTTATTTTTTTTTTTACTTATTATCAAGTTGAGAATGAGTAGATGATTGCATATCATTAGCAGATCGAATAACTTTTGCAGCAGCATCCTAGAAATAGAAAAAAGAAACAAATAAAAAGGAGAAATGTTCGATAATAGAAAATATGCATTTATTTTAAGAGTTAATACTACAAAAATAAAATATTGTTTAATATCATAGGTCGATTTTAAGTTTAATCAGTAGATATTTTGAAATAAATGTAGAGATCGACAAATTTAAAGCAAGAATATAATTTCCAGTGAAATATATGAATAACTATGACTATCATAGTATGAATATTCTCATTTTATGATATACTTTTACATTCAGATAGAAATAAATTTATGAAAGACACGAATAATATTAATGATGTCTGCTTCAATTGAACCAAAATTGCTTATAAATAAGATAAACTAGTGTTCAGTGAATGTGTCAGGATGCGAAGTGAACGTCAGAATAATTTTTACAATGACATCTCAAGTCATCGATTTTTCATCAAAACTAATGGTTCGAATGATTTTCTCATCTTTTTTTTAAAATTTCACTGCGAAATTATTATTTTCAATCTTGAAAAAATCGATTACAAGTTATAAAAAGTCCATATTAATACATCACAATAATTTATGTCAGATGGAACCATCTTTAATAAAAAATCAAACTCAAAAACTAAGCGAATTTGGCTGGTACTGGCGGCTTCAGCATGATCTCATTTAGAGGAGACACGCAATTTCGACTAAAATCTAACAATTTTGTCAGAGTTTAAATAATATTCATGCGGTGTGATACAAAAAAAAAACAAATTATGTAGGACAACCGCCGATTTTCGAGCAGTTTGAACAACGTGGGGTCTTCGGTCTATATTGATTTCTGAAAGGCAACTATAACTTTTTCGATAACTTTGGACTATAGAGCGAAATATAAGTAGGTTTGCAAGCCTTCGACTTGCCCATGTTAGAATATGGCACCATCTATTCACATGTCAACGGTATGCAGTAGAATCTGATAATACATACGGCATTAAATATAGGAAGTCTATCTCTACAAACCTATATAAATTTTGTTCTGTAGTCAAAACCTTCTAGTCACCTTTCCCTATACTTCACCTTTACAATGTATTTCAAATATAAGAAGTGGACACAAAAGTCAAAATAACTAAAGAAGTACAAAGTATACTAAATTAATATGAGAATTGAACAAGTACTAAATTGAAAAGAATGTTAAAATGAAAAATAAATACTTGATAATTTTGTGGTAAAGCAGTAAGCATTAAATTAAATTCTGGTCGATTGAGATTATGTAGAGCAAGAATAACAGCTTGTGCAATCTAAAATTAAATTATACATTCTATTTTAATTATAATAATCTTTTTTTTTTGTTTGTTTACTTTTCTCATCTCAACACTTTTTGGTTCACTTGACCAATTAATAATTTTTGATAAAGCAACTCGAATATCTGTATTATTAGTTATATCAACAGGTTCCATATGTTGTATAAGTTGTTGTAAATAACGTAAAAGTATTTCTTTAACTTTAATTCCTGGTGCTGAAGAATTATCATTAATAAAACGAATAAGTACAATAAATTGTGCATGAACATCAAATGATGTATTAACAATAGATAAACATTGTTTTAATTTTTTAAAAACAGACTCAAGTAAATCCGGTGCACCCATACGAATTAATAAACGAGTCAATAAAATATAAAGCCAATCATTCAATTCACGTTTATAAGCTATTATAAAATCTGGTAAAACATCAAGAAATGCTGAAAATACTTGTGAATTTGGATCATGAAAACGTTTTGTTAATAATTCAGTTAAAAGTTTTAATTCTGGAGGACTATTAAAAAACAAAAACAAATATTATTTTTTAAAAATAGTTGAATTATCTATGAAAATTTACCTGAATGTACGTCCTGATCGAATTGTATGATATAAACTTGCGAGACTTTCTTTTCGTTCAGCCCATTCATTACTAGACATTCGACGTAAAATATCAGTTACATCCTAAGAGAAATAAATTTTTGAATGAAATGTATTATTCATCTTTCATTAATTATTGAACAATATCTTCTTTCCTAGTTTTGCTAATTTTTTTGTTTCAAGAGGACTCAGAGACCATCACAAAGCACTTTTTTTTTTCGTCTTGTCCTGCCCTCAAGATCGAGCAGGATATTTACATTGAAGTTGACTATGGAATGGGTTGATAACCCAATGAAAAATTCTAATCGGTTTTTTTTAAATGTTTAGTGTGTTCATATCACGTTGACATTATTTCAAAAGAGTATGATCCGTGTTTAAAAAATTACTATAAAACCGTTTAAAATAGTATTATTATAATCTGATTTTAAACTTATTGTTTTGTTTTTATTTCTTCAAATTTGTGTTATCGATTAAAATTGGAAAATCTTTTTTAAAAGAGTTTTTTAAAACCCTTAACACTAATGAAAACATGGAATTACATAGATGACACATGTCTCGGAAGATTCATGTTTACATTTAGAAAACACTTTTAAATTATTTTTTATGAAAAAAAACGTCAGTAGGATAGTCCTGCTCTTGACAACAGTCTCTGATAGATCTACGCTAGTTAAGCAAAGTAATCAGTTAAATCAATATTTTATTACAATATCTTAATCGATTGGAGATTTTGTCTAATCGTCAACATACATAAATTTTCGAAGAAGATCATCAATGAAACAAAACTAATGTAAGAGATCTATGTGATCAAAAAGAAAGGTTCCAATTTTTAATCTAATGACTATTTTAATTCAATGGGAAACTTCTTATATTTTATTTAAAAAAAAAAAACTAACTTACTTCAAATGTTCTTTCTGAACATATACTTGATGTTTCTGATGCATCATCACCACTATCACCATGTAATGAACCACTAAAACGACGTCCACTAATATGATCACCATAATCACTTCCTGGTCCTCGATATCCATATGATCCTAAAATAGAAATAAATCAATTCAAATCAAATATGAAACAAAATAAAAATAACTACAAAGTTAATATTAATACAAAAACCCGATTAATCAAATAAATACGAAGAAAATCAAATTTCAGATATTAACATACAAAACAAAACACATATTTATCCTACAAAACTTACGCCCTAATCGACGTTTATTTCCACCACCACCACTAGCAATCACCGCTGAAAAAATGTCTCAATATTTCATAATAATCTTTTTTTGTTTTTGAACTCATACGATCAAACAAAAATAAAATAAACAATATACATACGTGTTCGTCCTGGACTTGATTCTCGACTTGATATTCGTGAACCACCATTTGAACCTATTGGTATTCGTGAACGAGTATTAGTTGATGTACGTAATATTGATGATAAATGATGGGGTGATGTCGAACGACTACCCGGTTGAGATTGGGATACAATATTTGGTGAAGTTGATGTTAGTAAAGAAGCTTTTTTAGTATGTGTTGTTTGAGTAAGTACTTCAGATCGATCTAATTCAATAATAAAAATATTTATAAATATTTTTATTTCGAATTAGGAATGTAATGATGAGTAGAACCTATTGGATTGGTCTTGGACCTGATCCAATGGGTTATACTCTAAAAATTAACAGTCAATTATGACTTGATTATTATAAGATCATTGTCATAATTGCCTAAGAAATATGTTAGTAGTAGAATTAAGAGCGATTATTAAACACCCACACACACACACACGCAAAGATTTTATTCAAATTAGTAGTGCAGCTAAGATCCGGGTATATAAATATTGAACTCGATGGTCTCGAACAGTAAAGTCGGTGAGTAAATGAAGAACGCTATGGTGATGATCGATACATTATTACTGCTAACTTCTCTTAGTAAAAAGATATTTGTATAACGAAAAAAACCGGTCATCACCATAAATTCTTAATACTTTCATCTATCTTAATGTTAATGTTTGAAAGTGTATCCCCCTATTTCAACAACTTACTATGTGCTATTTGAACAGAAGTTGTATTTAAACCTCAAGAAAACAAAATTTTTTTTTCATCGATTTCAAATAAAATTTACATAGTTTAAAATAGTTAAAAATTTGTAATTTTATTTAAATACATTAATCACTTACTAGTGTATGCTGTTGATGATGCCTTTTTGTTTCGTAATGCAAGTTCATTAGCACTTGATGATCGAGCTAAATTACTCGATGAACTTTGTTTGTCTATAAAAATTACAAAACTATTTACAATAATCATCACTTTTGTTTCAATCAAAACTTGACATTTGAGAACATTTTTACTACGCAAATATTATAGGAAAGATTAAAAAAAAAAACACAGAAAAAATTACCGTCAAAAGAAGAGATAATTTTCGAATCGAAAATAAAGTATATGAAAATATGATAGATACCAAGCATTTAACTTAAAATCAAATAGTGCTTCGAATAGCCAATAAAGTTTTCTTCCATACTGAAATTTTATGAGAGAGAAACCAAAAGTCTTAGACGACTATATGAAAATTAGTTTTTAATAGCACAAAATTTTGAATAAAACGAGAGATTATCGTATTTTCTATGACCCTCCTTTAAAAAGTTATAAGTATGATAAAACGAAAGTTATCATAGCATTGCTAAAAAACACTTTTTTTTTTAAAATACTTGTAACTTTTTAAGGCAAGGTCATAGAAAACACAGTGATCTCTCATTTTAGTCAGAATTTAGTGCTCTTAAAAACTAACTTTCACGTAGTCTTCTGACATCTGAAAACTACCGTCTCTGGTTTTTCAGAAATCTTCCTCTCATACGATTCCGATACGGAAGAGAACTTCATTGGCTATTGAAACTACTATTTGGATATGGCTGAAGACATCTTCCTGACGTTCTATCCAAAATCGATTTTCAATACAGTGCATGAGATTTCTATGCAATTTTTTAGAGATGTTTGACTAATGAAAGTGCACGATTAAAAAAATTTTCACGGCTTCTAGCCTGATCTTTCAGAAGTCGTAGTGCAAACTAAGAGTTTCACTTGTACAAATGTTTTTCTAATACATTTCAAACGACAATGCTCGAGCTACTCTCATTTCAAAGAGAACTCCTTACTACTTCGGATGGGAGATAGATTTTTTTATTTCATTTTTGACGCCTTCGAAATTTAGGCAATGTTTTCTAGAAAACTCACAATTGCTTTGATATTGAAAGTTGAGTAGAAAACTCCTTAATAAGAAAAAAATGAAGTTCACTAGAACGAATACTCTCGAGAAAAACGAGAGAAATTGTTTTTGAATATTTACCTAAAGAAATTTCTGACATGAGCATAAAATATAGTTAAAAAATTCATCTAGAGTCTTATCGACTAGTCTTCTAGTTACATTTTGGGCTAAGATAAAGGGCCGTAACTGCAATAGTGCTTATATAATTTCCCTATGGATTTAGTATTAGTCATTCCACTGGAGAGATCTAGAAACTCGTTTAGATAACGAAAGTCTCTACATCAGCCGATCTCGACCACTGTATGTGTTGAACGTTTGAAAATTTGTGTACATGCACTTCACCAAGAATGTAGATTATTTGCGTTGCGGCGGCGTTGTTATTGCTTGATTACAAAGGAAGTTATAATGGATGGCACCTAAATTTTATTATCAGCCGACTCTTCAATATGTAATGCTATATCTCAGCTATCTACATTACTAATTTCTTTGAAGTTCATCAATACTTTCAAAGACTTTGTTCATTATTGTGAAGAGAAATCATCTACTACCCTTTGGAGGTCAAGAACTCACTGAAACGAGTTCAAACTTTTTGAGAAACTTCTTTCACAATTTCAGAAGCAAATCGTGTACTAAAGAGAAATGAAACATAGATAATTATCTTGTTGATTCCAACGATTCAGAAATATTTATATTCAAGCAAATGAACTAAAAATTTTGAATGAAGAAAGACTATAGACGGTATTGTAGTTACATGTAAAAATATCAAGAATTTGTCGTATTATTTGTAAGAAACTTTTGTAATCAAGCAATAACGGTGACGCATGCCAATGATCTACATTCTTGCTGACGGATATATAAATAAATTTTCCGACCTTCAGCAGATTTAGTGGTCGAGATCGGCTCCGACGAAGATTTTTGTTCACTACTGTAAATCAAAATCTATCTATTTCTTACCATTAGTTACTGTTCGAGTTTGTCTTGATGTACTACTAAAAACAAAAACAGATAGCCTCACATTCAATAAAATGTTAACATTTCAAACACATACTCTTTTGTGCTACGTATTCTTGAACTACCTATACTTGCTAATGATTGTGTACTTGATGCATTACTCATTTCACCCTATTTTATTGATATATGTAAAAAAACAAACGAAATTCTTTAAAGATAAAGATTATTTTTTTTAAACAAACCATTAATGTTTTCTTTTTTGATGAATCAAGTGTAGCAAGAAGTGCATCAGCTAATAGAGAAAAATGTTCACGAAACAATCCAAATGCTTTTCGTGCATATACTCTTGCATCAGCATCAGCATCCGATAAACCTTTTTTTATAACATCATGAATTAATTGACCATGTTTATCCAAATAAATAAAATCCCATTTTGAAAGCATGATTATTAATAAGTCATATGTATGTCTATTAAAAATTAAAGAAGAAAAAAAAAGAAAGCAAAGTTCATAAAAGTAATATAAAACAAAAAATATTTATATAAACCTTCGAATATCTTTAGATTTTGATTCAATACCAGTTAATATAAGTGGAACAAGTTTAGTTGATTGTGTATTATTAACAATATAACGTATACCAACACTTCCACTTGTTGAAATAATTTTTGCACTATTTTGTATAAGATTAACCATAGCTGGTATAATACCTTCAGCTGTACGTTCAAAACGATTTTTACAACGAACAGACATAAATGCTAATGTAATACAAGCTTCACGAACTACTTGTGAACGTAAATCTTTTACAGTTGTTACTAAAGGTAAATCAAGTTGACGAAGATTACGAAAAAATTCATCATATTGATCACCACCACCGGATATTATTGAACGTAGTCGTTTAAGCTTAATTACAAAAAAAAAAAAATAAAAACAGAAATTTAAATAAAGACATGATTTTTTTTTAATTTATTTCTTACTGCTTCTATACGTTTTTCCCAATCATTATTAGTATCAGCAAGTGTATCTCGAATATTTAATAATTGATTTTCGACATCTTTACCTGATGAGAACTTCAATAAAAGAAAACAAATATTCATATGATTTAATTGTTTTTAATGAGATAAAACATTTGCCATATGGCATATATTGACATATAAATAGATGTTTTATCTTCTTCGATTACAATAGGTTATAATAATCATCCTTACCATAATGTCATGCGATTCATTGAATGCATCTTCGAATATTGCTTCATCAACTGCTCCACTAGCAGCAGCTATAAAAAAAAAAAAGAAAAACAATTTTTAATTTTTATCTTATTTATTAAAAAAAATCGTTTTTATTCTCAACTAGAATTAAAAGAATATAATATACGATCCATAATCAACGTCTTACGTCATCAGCTATCAAGATATATATATATATATATATCTATATATGTAATTTGGTCAAATAATAACACAAACACGTGTTACAAACCGACTAGTGCAGATAACACAACAAATAACAACAGCCGAAATAGTGACACAACACAACAAAAGATAATAATACCTCCTGTTGCTGATATAGATGAGTGTGGACGTAGTATACCAGATAATGAACGTGAACGATGATTGGTAGAAGAAGAAGAAGAAACTTTACTTGTTTCTGTTGTTTACTTTTGTATTACATTCAAAATATTTTTTATTTTATTTAATTACCTCCTGAAGTCGAACTACCAATAGTTGTTCGTGCTGGAATACTACCACTTGGTCTTGCTCGAGGTACTGTTCCACTACCATCCGAATCACGTCGAGATTTTACTGTTGATGATTTTGCACGAGCTAAAAATAGATTTAATAATATCAAAAAAAAAAAAAAACAAATCAATTAACACAGCCTTACGAGGTTTACTAGCTAAAAACATATCTGTAATAGGCACCATCTGTAAATGTGATGCTTTTTCTTTTTCTCTTTTGTTCTCTTTTCTCGTCTTTGTATAGAATTTGAATATCAATGAAAATTACACATATGCATATAAACGATCATCCTTCTGTGTTTGCCGTTGCCTCGGCTTATTGAAAAAAATTTTCAAACACATTCACCCACACATACACACACAAGCATATATGAAAGAGAAAAAAAAAACTCTATCAATAGATGAGTTCAATAAAGCTATTACTGTTTAACATGAGACAATGAGAGAGAGGGAGAGAGAGAAAAAGAGAGAGAGAGACAAAGAGAAGTACCAAAAAAGTGAAGCATCAAATATATGGAATGAAAAAGTGTAGAATTTAAATATATACAAAAGATTAATAACTATATGTAAGTAAAATACAAGACCTTATCTATGTATAATATTTATTTATACCTAGTAACAATTTTCTCGTTCGATTTAATCGACAAAATTTAATATTAACTAATGGATAGAGTTCATCGTTTTCCTCTTCAAATAATGTTGGTAATTGAAAACGAGTTGATGATGGACCAAGAAATTGTTCAAGTAAAGTTGAATTCATTGTTCGTATCTCGTATCAAGTAACTAACAAGCTTCGATCAGTTCAAGTACGATAGAAAGGTAGTTTGTCGTACATACACATAAATTTATGCATCCCTCATTTTGTATCTTTTTTTTTTCGGGGCGGGTTTTTTTAATGTGACGATCAACTTATCATCATTTATATCTTATATATATGTATGTATACCTTACACCTTCGATGACTGAGTTAATGCAATATAAATACGATCTTCCATTTTGATTAATGATCCAAAGAATATTTTGAGGATGATGACATACACACACACACACACTCACACATACATATATAATATTTATTCGATTTCATCTATATAATATGTATCTTACCATCATCTGTTGAATCCGTTACTTTAGCAATCATTCGACCACTTGCAATAACATCATCAAATTTTTCGTAAAGTTGTTTTAATCTAAATAATAAAAATTAGAATTAAACAAAAAAAGACAAAATAATATATTAAATCATTTACTTGGCTTCGGGTATGTCGCGTTTAGCAATATCATTACGAACTTTTTCTCCAACATGACGATAAATTTCTACAAGCGTATCAATTGCTTGTTGACGAACCTATTTAAAAAAAAACAAAAAAATTAAAATAATTAAAAATCAATATATTTTGAATAGTTTACAGTTCCATTTGAATCTGATACAAGTTTACAAATAAGTGGAACAAGTTTACTAAATTGAAGTGTTGATGCACCAAACCTTAAGAAGAAAAAAACAAAAGTTCATAACTATATGTTTCAAAAGTTGTCGAACTTACATAAAACTACGAAAAAAAAAATGATCTATTTCTATTTCACTTACTTATCATTGGTAATCTGTATTGAATTAGCTTGTTTCATCTCGACTAGACACAATATCAGTAACACTAATAAAATTTTAATCCTTTTCTTGTCTACTGACACGAGGAAATTATTTGTACTGAAATTAACTTACAGTTGATAAGACAAGGAAAAATACAGAGAAAGAGAAAAAGATCAAAATCCACAATAAGAATAACACTCAGTTGGATTAAATAGACAGTGGTAAAAGGCAACGATGATCATTAACGGGAGAGATATGTCATTTGCATCTTGCGTAATGCACTTTAACGATCATTATATCTCTATCTATTTGCTGTGTACATACCACACTATCTTTCCTTCTACACACATGTACATACATACATAGAGTCGCATCTTTGTGCTGGAAACAAAATAAGAGATAAAGTATTTCATCATGAAAATATAACTTTCATATTGATGGAAAAAAAAAGTAATATAGTTATAATGTCAGAGTAAAATTGAGCCATTCATATAAAAAACAATCGTTTGGTTTCTTTTTCTTTTACTAGATTAATTTTAATAAAATCAAAGAAAAGTATTCCGGAAGTGAAAGACAATAGGAAAGTGACATCTATGAACTTACTCTACAATCGAAGTAGGTTTTGTCGAGATTGTTGTTGGTTGATTCGTTAACATACTATTATTTATGTGAGTTATGATAAAAACAATGATCTTGACGTACCACTCTAAGGATATGATAAGCGATATGAAAGGTGACAAAAAGAGTAGAAGATCTTTTTTGATTATACTCAATGCATGTACAATTAGATAGTAAGAATGAATTTTTTTCTTTTGCTTTCTGCTATATCGCTAAATCTTTCTCATGATCGTTGACCGTTGAACAGTTGTATGTGCATTTTTCTTACGTTCTGTTGTATTATCTCTTTTATTAATGACGATAGAAGGACGTAGACATACACAAATGTGTCTATAGCTATATGAGAGAAAAAAGAGACGAGAGTCAGGGTAACTCACAGCCGATTGTGTATGTTCAATTATGAGGCATACAGACGTTTATTTGTTTACTATTCAAATGATTGCTTTTTGTCGTCGTGACTCCGTTAGTAAAAAAACCCCAACGATCGTTACAATAACAAACAGATAAAAAAGAAAATCGACTAGTACTTCTATTGAAAAAGCAGAAGATTGATTGGTAAGATAAACTTTGTTCTTATTCTAGGCTTTTTTTTTCTATCAAACAATTGGTTGCTTTCGATTACATACTCATTTAATGATCTTATAAGTAAAAGTTGACTTTCTTCTTTTACACGAAATTGTTTATGATCAAATGATAATGGTTGTATTAAATCCCAAATACGCTATATACAAAAAAAGAAGTAAAGTTTATTTTAATTAACAAAATTTACTCGTGGTGTGAAGGTTGTCATTAATTTTATAAGGAGATTAGACGCCGCTTCTCGAACCTAAATAAAATTTTTGTTTTACAATTTATACTTTTAAAATCTTTTATTCTACTTGATCTTTGGCATCACCCAATCGATCAACTGTTATAGATACAACTAAATATTATAAAAGAAAAGAACTATTTTTATATCAATCGAAATATTTCTTAAATACCATTATCAAGTAAACATTCAAATTCATATGAATTTAATCGATCAATAAGTAATTCCACTGCTCGAAGACCATTATAAGCAATCTAAATTGCAAACAAACATTCTCAAAAATCTATAAATCATAAGAAAGTCATACTCGAAAATTACTGCCTTCAATCCATTTAAATAAACCAGTAATAAAACCAGTTAGGTCTTCACATTCAAGTGATGTGTTTACATCAGATAAATAATTTTCAAGTGCAGAAAAACATTCTAATCGAACAGTTGGTTCTTTTGATAGAATACTTTGATAGAAATCATCGAGTTTTTTATTTTCAGTTGTTGGTGATGAATCGGCCATCTATGAATATGTTATTAGAAAAAAATGATCAAGAAATAGGTAGTTCTATCGGTGAACCATCAGATCTTGCCGATAAAAAACACAGGCGTCAAAGAGAAAGAAGAAAAAGACAGTCAAATTAAGATTTATTAGTCATCATACTACAAATATCTCCTTGACCATGATTGGATTAAAATATAAACCAATACGAAAATGTTTAGAATGATTGATTGATTTTATTAATTTTTACAACGAAAATAATCTAAGTGAAGGTCAAACTCAACTATAGCCTGTATTTATGTGGGAATAGTCAAGTAGTTTTTCTGAAACCTACATTCTAAATTTCTGATTAATTATCAGTCTTAGCTGAAAACAAGACTCTGATCTAGTAGTTCAGTGAACATATTGCTAAATTATTTGACCTACTATTTCGAATAACAAAATTCAAATTGAATCAATACCAAGAAACTCAATTTATAAATGTTGAAAATTTCTTTCAGGCTGTATAAAGATTATTCATGCGCAAACGTACGTTTCTTTCTACTCGAATGTCTGATGACTCTTTTTTGTCAAATATTAATCGAATAAAATGAAAAACAGTGACGTCACTCATGAATTCGAATTTGACCAATCCGAAGCGAATGATGATGAATGGAGGTTCGAACGTTGCCAACTTAAAAAAAGACCGAATACTTTATTTTCATAAAGACAATTCAGAAAATACAGTGTTTATGATTTGATCATGATTCAAGACAGCAATGAAGTTTTCGATCAAGTTATTCTATTAAAATTTGAAGCTTCGAAAATCGAAACTTCAATATAACGAAAAGAATATTTATTATAAAATATGTTTACTGAAATGAAGATATAGGATCGAGTAAAGCAAAACGTATCATCATCTTCAAATTCTAATAAAAAAACCAGTGGAACTAACCAATTAAACGGTTTCAAAACCATCAACGTTTCAAATCAATTCTATCATTGATCTAAATAATGATTAAGTTTGTCAAATATCATTTCAAAATACGGAAAGTTTATCGTATGAACATTTCATCTAAGAGAAATTAGAAGATGACGACGAAATCATACAAAAATTGATCTATCTCCAGGAAAGTGTTCATGTTGTCGTCGACGAAAATGAAGAGAAAAATCTAAGACACGTATCACGATAATCGTCAACGGTCGTGCGTTGCTGTATTCATATAATTCATCTCACTCAAGATAGACGGATTTTATCCGCCTCGCCTTAGATATGAAATTATATTATATTTTTTTAAAATTACTCACTACTTAATTTGATGTTTGAATCGATCTAAATAAACAAAAAAATAATTTTTTTATTTTAAAATGAACATTTACTCTTAAATATCTGTTTCGAATTAATCTAAATAAAAATGAAATCAAAATATTCATACTTAATGTTATATTTGTTGCTGACTTCAAAACGAAAAATATATGTGTTGGAGAAGTGCAACCCGACTTACGACTAATTTTCAACAAAATGCGTTCGTTTACCATAGTCTTTTACGTTCATCGCATTCGTTATGTATGCGTTGATAATATACGATGATCATTCTTGACATATTTTGTAGTATACAATGGTTTAAGATCATATTTTTCCGACCTGGAAAATTCAATTATTATGAAGAATCAATGCTTAATTATCAACGATTAATTTCGGATAAAGTAAGTAACTTTTCATTGTCCATGGCTGCTGACGTTTGAATTTTTCAGTTGGAAAATGTGAGCACAATATTAACTTCTGTCGGACGAGAATTATCATATTTAAACGAGAGACAATCAATGACAAAGATTATTAAATATCCCACACAAAGAACCCTAATGGCTATTAATGAGATTTGATTAGAGATTGGCTATGACTTTCATTTTGATCGAAATAAATTGAATGCAATTTACTCGGTTTCCATAAATTAAATAAAATGAACAAAAAAAAACAAATCAAAATAATCTGATCTTCGATTAAATTGGCAATAGATATAGAACATTATAATCGATTGTTTTAAGTGACATTCGAAAATAATCTAAGTGATAACGATAAAACTAATCGTTGTTTTCGAGGTGACAATATTAAGAATCTATTTTGCCAGTAATGTTCTATGTGATTTTTCCTATCAAAATAATCGATATACTAAGTCGATGAAAAAACTGTACATAAGCTGTCTCAGGTAAAAAGACAAATCTAATATTTATCATTTTATTAATCGTTTGGTCTCAATTGATTTTTCGGTGATCTTGTATTATTTGAATGATATCACGATCCATCGATTAATCCAGATGAGCTGTTAAACAAGCTCATATTGTTCAGAAGTCATTCATATTAATGTACTGCTATTACTTTGACTTTTCAAAATTCAACAGCTTATTCTTATATGCCAAGTATTCAAATGCTGAATGAACAACGTACTTGTCCATTCTCGCAATGTTTTTCTTTGATATCTGCTAGTCAAATATCTTTCACTGTCTTGTTTTTGTTAGGTTTTTTCTATCTTATTTCTTGCCATAAGTAAATAAAATTGTTTGACAACAGACAGCTGGATTTTTCATTGCTGGTGAAGGTTGAATGCGAGACAAAATTGTCTACAAGTTCTCTCACTACAGAGACGGTCGATTGTCAAATATATAAGAATTAAGTTCTAATGTGTTCAATTACTTCTTTTTTCCATGGTCCATTAGTAGGCCCGTTTTCTGGTCGATTGCTCGTAATTGATCTTATTTATATTCATATACCTGCCAATGAACGACAAATTCTATTCGGTTGGAAAGGTCGTCTGCTCATTTTATGAGTTGACAATAGAGATCATCATGGAATCGAAAAAAGAATTCTGATCGCGAACAAAATATGTCATGTTATTTCATCACCATTGACGCTAAAACATCATTATTCGCTCTCTATTAATGTTTAGGAAGGATATTATACAAATAAGATATCTCAACAGAATCGTTGCTCTTTCTATTCTTACTGTCATTAAAAAAAGTTGATATTGTCGTATCATTAGAAATTATTTCCTGTCCAAAAAAGAACTCCTTTGGTGATCTGACTACTTTTTTGAACGCACCAGCTATCACATATAAAGATTTAATGATAATGAATTTTTACTTGAAACTATTTTTGAAAACTGTTCGACGTTTTTTTCAGAAAAAAACAAATCGATTATCAGTATTTGATGATATGAGAGATTAATATTTGAAAAAACTGTGATTTTAAATAGAGTCGATAGCAAATTTTATACAAAATGAAAGCGTATCAAAAATGGAACTTATCAGTATTAAATAGTAAGAGTTCTGTTAATCTTTTTATATCGAACATAACAAATTTCTAGGAATTTTCGCTATTTTAGTGCGAAAAAATTTCTTTCATGAGGCAATTCAAAAACTAAATTTGATCAAAATGATGGTTTCCTAAGAAGTAATGCTGCAAAAATTTCTAGAAATTTGTTATGTTTGATATATAAGAAGTTTTGTAGAACCCTTACTATTTAATACTGATCAATACCATTTTTGACGCGCTTTCATTTGGTATAAAATTTGCTATTGACTCTATTTAAAATCACAGCATTACCCTCTGGATAAACATTTTTATACACCCTGTAAGTGTAAAAGAAAATTTTTAATGAAAGAATATTAGATGTGAGTTCAGGAGAAAACAACATCATTATCTTGAAACCGGTGTGACATTACAGGAGACACGGAAGGTGATATTAGAGGGTAATTCGAATCATCGGAAGAATTTTCAAAAACAAAAGAACATGTGTAGGAAGAAGAGAATAAAATTGATTATATCGCCACCCAAGTCAATCCGTAAAATAAACCGTTGCCAGTTGATCATATTCTATAAATGACATCGTCGTTTATCTGAAAATATCTAAACTAATGTACTATAGCCATTATAAGTGAAAAAACAGAATTAATTCGTAGTGTTACTCGATCATTTCGACAAAGGATTGATGTGTCTCCCAAAGACTTCAACTGTGTAACGTCGATAATAAAGTCGTTCTCGTTGATCAATGCATTTCCTCTGCAATCTATTTGCGATTCATTTTTTGTCATTACAATTCTTGATCTCATTTATTATGCCGGAAAGATTTGACTTACGTTTTCTCGTGAAAAGAATTTTCTTTAGACGAAACAAATGCTGCATTTGTAATTATTGACATTGTTTAGGAGATCTACATGAAATGTGACAATCAAATTCACAACGAGAAAACAACAAACTTGCTTTTGTCATCAGAAGATGAATTCAATTGTTGATGAAAAATCTCGTGGAGAGAAGAATTTTATTAAAGATAAAGCCAGAGATGAAAAGCATTTTAATGAATGTATCGACCTCTGCAAGAATTGACTGTCTGTTAAATAATAAAATTTTTTTTCATTAACAACTATATTTTTATTTAGTTTTTATTCACAGAAAAAAAATTGACAATGACAAACTAACAACAGCAAAAAAAAATGTTAGATACAATTATGTCTACCAAGCTGAACCAGTATTAGCCAAACGACGAATACGTCTAAAAATAAGATTTAAAAAAAATAAATTTTCCTTTTCAAAAAATAAATTTCTACCTTGTATTACGATCTTGATCACGAATCTTTTTATCCATTTCGGCATCTGTAAGTGTTTCTAGGAATGGACAATATTGTTCAGCATCATGATTTGTTCGCGTAGCAACATCAACAGTTGGCATTGGTGTTTCACTATAAAAAAAAATAAATCTATGAAAATTAGCAGATTTTTATTTTTTACCTATAGGAAAAGGTTTTATGATGCCAACTAAGTTGTCCACGAATACTATATGCTATTGCTGTAACAAATTCGCCACCAAGTCCTATATATATATGTCTTCATATGTTGATTGGGTTTTTTGCTTTGAAAAATTCTTACCTAATTCGGATGCTAATACGCGAGCAAATTCTTCTGGACTATTCTGTTTATCGGACATGTCCCATTCGAATTGATCGACTAAGCTTACATTTCCAACATGAATATTCAGCTAAAAATAAAA